TGACCTTAAAATACATTTATTCTATATATTCCCCTCCCTCTTATTGTGTATTTCATCATGCATTTTAACTACACATAAATTTAATGCATCCCAATATATTAATATTATTGTTTTATACAATCAAAACCTACATATATAATTCATTTTTCTAGAGCTTTCATTCCCTCACAAATTTCTTAGCTTCCAACTTTGATCACATTTCCATCTGAAGAATCCCCTTTTAGTGTTTTTATTTAAGTGTTGGTATGCTGAAAATAATTTCTTTAGTTTTTGTTTGAGTGGAATCATCTTCGTCATCTTTATTTCTAAAGGCTATTTTCACTTGCTAAATTATCCTAATGGAGTAATCAGTTATTTTCTTTAAAGACGCCATTCTGTCCTATTGCCACTTTTTTGTTTCTGTTTAAAAGGCAGTTCTCAGTCTCAATGTCCTTTTACCTTGCTGCTTCCAAGGTTTTTTTATTTGTCTTCTCTTTCAAGTTTTACTGTGACATGCTGATGTCTGAATTTCTTCATTTAACTTGTTTTGGATTCATAATACTTTTTGCTTGAGTCACTGCAGTTGAGGGAACTTCAAACATTATCTCTTATAATATTGCTTCTTCCCCTATCTTCTTTCCTTCTGTGACTCCAGTTGCCTGTACCTTCTTAGTTGTCTTTACTACGTCCCATGTGTCTCCTTTTACTTTCTTCTATGCTTTCCACAAGTGGTTCACCTTCAGCAGAGATTTTTTTACTCACTTCTTTTTTTAGCCCTCTTTTTTTATTTAGATGCATTTTATTTATTTTTTCCTTATTTTTAAAAAAATTGTGTTTGTTATTGTTCAAGTAAAGTTGTCTGCATTTACCCCCTACCACCCCCACCCCCATCCCAACCATCCCTACTTCCCTCCCCTGATTCCACCCCCATCCTTGGTTTTGTCCATGAGTCCTTTATAGTTGTTCCTGAAAAACCTTCCCCTCTTTCCCCTCATTATCCCCTCCCACCCCCCTCCCTCTGGTTACTGTCAGATTGTTTTTAATTTCAATGTCTCTGGTTATATTTTGCTTGCTTGTTTGTTTTGTTGATTAGGTTCCACTTAAAGATGAGATCATATGGTATTTGTCTTTCACCAACTGGTTTATTTGGCTTAGCACAGTGCTCTCCAGATCCATCCATACTGTCACAAGGGGTAGGAGCTCCTTCTTTCTTTCTGTTGTGTAGAAAGAAAATGTACCAATTGTGTAAATGTACCACAGGTTATTTATTTATTTATTTAATTGTTTGTGAAGTACAGTCATTCGCCTTTTCCCCATAGTTTTTTGATCCATTCATTTACTGATGGGCACTTAGGTTGCTTCCAGAATGTGGCTATTGTAAATTGTGCTGCTATGAACATTGGGGTGCATAGATTCTTATGAATTGGTATTTCAGGATTCTTAGGGTATAATCCCAGCAGTGAGATGGCTGGGTCAAAGGCAGTTCTATTTTCAGTTTTCTGGGGTAATTCCACACTGTTTTTTACTGTGACTTCACCAGTATGTATTCCCCACAATGCACTAGGGTTCCCTTTTCTCCTCTCCATCACCTGTTATTGGTTGATTTGGTTATGATAGTGATTCTCACCAGTGTGAGGTGGTATCTCATAGTGGTTTTAATTTGCATCTCTCTGATGGCTAGCAATACTGAGCATCTTTTCATATGTCTCTGGGCCTTCTGTATGTCCTCCTTGGAGAACGTGTCTATTCAGGTTTTTTGCCCATTTTTTAATTGAGTTGGTTGCCTTCCTAGAGTGAAGTTGTGTGAGTTCTTTATGTATTTTGAAGATCAAACCCTTGGTCTCCAAAATATATGAAGGTATATTGGCAAATATGTTGTCCCATATAGTTGGTTTTCTTGTCGTTTTAATGCTATTTTCTTTAGCCATGCAGAAATTTTTATTTTGATAAGGTCCCCTTTGTTTATTCTCTTCTTTATGTCCCTTGCTCTAGGGGACAACATATCACTGAAAATATTGCTGCATAGAATATGAGATTTTCCTGCCAATGTTCTCCTTTAAAACTTAAATGGTGTCACAACTCATATTTAAGTATTTTATCCATCTTGAATTTATTTTTGTGTATGGTGTAAGTTGATGCTCAAGTTTCATATTTTTGCACATAGCTGTCCAGTTCTCCCAACACTATTTGTTGAAGAGACTATTTTTACTTCATTTTATGCTGCTTCCCCCTTTGTTGAATATTAGTTGATCATAGAGACTTGGGTTTATTTCTGAGTTCTCTGTTCTGTTCCATTGGTCCATGTGTCTCTTCTTATGCCAGTACCAGGCTTTTAGATTACAGTGGCCTTGTAATACAGTTTGATATCAAGTATTGTGACCCCTCCTACTTTGTTCTTCTTTCTCAAAATTGCTGCAGCTATTCAAAATCATTTATGGTTCCATATAAATTTTTGAAATCTTTGTTCTATATCTGTGAAATATGTCATTGGTACTTTAATAGGGATTGCATTGAATCTATTAATTGATTTTGGGTTGTATGGACATTTTGGTGTGGTTAATTGTTCCAGTCCATGAGCATGGTACATGCTTCAATTTTCTTGTGTCTTCCTTTATTTCTTTCTTCAGTGTTGTATAGTTTTCTAAGTATAGGTTTTTTTTATCTTCTTGTTTATTAGTAGCCATCATTATTTTAATCACCTTCCAGTTTCGTCCAATCTGTGGGTAACTTTATCTATTGAGTCATTAATTCACATTATTAGTTTTTAGCTCAAGAATTTCTATTTGTTCTTTCCCATTACAAAACTGTTCTTTGATAAAATTCTTTCTGTTTTTATCCATGGCTCTTGAACACATTAATCACAAATCTATGTCTGATGTCCAAACTAAAACAAGGATCATCTGTGATTTGATGTTAGTGATGATTTTCCTGTTATTTTCTTTTGAAAAGGTATGCATAGTTACTTTTTTCATTGTGTGCTAAATATTGTAGATGAAACATTTAGATCCACAAGTAGTACTCTATTCTTTCAGACTGAATTGACCATGTCCTGTCTTAGGCAACCTGTGAGGGAGTGGGTCACTTTATTTAATGAGAGAATGAGCTCATTTGAGGATGTGTTACCACTTTGGGAAGATTTATATACTTCTGATCACAGCATCTCCTTAGTTTACCTCTTAGAGATCTCAACAGGCAACCTGTGAGTGACTACTAACAGACCTTTTTTATTGGTTAAGAACTCTCATTTTTGTTTGCTCTTCATGAATAAATTTATGATTACTGTGTTGATTTGCAAGCATTTTTTTAGTTTCATAGTCTCTCTCTCCAAGCACCTTAAGAATTCAATAAATGTTATGAGAAAAGAATAAGAGAGAGAAAGAGGATTTGTCTCACTTCTCAGCAATTCCCCTCATATTTGGATGTTGGCCTCACAAGTTCTGCCTGTCTTGGGAATTTTGTTCTCCAACACTGTCAGATTTCCAAAGTTCCACTTGCTTCTCTGGTTCTTGGCAACTAGTTATCCTCTACCTGGTTTTTCTACCCAGCACTAAGATTTGGCAAATTTTATATGGGATAAAGTTTAACAGCAAGTTGGGCTCTTCTTTTTATGTCTTCTATTTCTCCAGGATCTTGGTCTCCTGTTGTTAGCTAAATAGTTCTGGATGACCTCAAACAGTTCTTTAGTGTATTTTACCTGGCTTTTCTCCTTGGTTTAGTGGTGACTTTGGTCTGCTATAGCCTATTCTATCATAGCTATCATCTACATGCTTTTGTTACTTTCTGGACCTATTTAAAGTATCTTTAGTCAGTGAGGTGATTCATGTATTTTACTTTGTCCTATTTATACTGATATATTTCTAAGTATGCACATACAAAATCCCATTGCTGGATTCAATACAAAATGAGAGTTATAGCATTATTTCTTCATTTTACAAACATTCAGAATTTCTAAAGGAGTTGCTTGTATTACACAGTAAGTGGCAGAATTTAAGGTAAAGAAAATAAGTCAGCATGTCATTTAACAATACTATAAATTCATAAATACTCATGATTACCAAAACATTCAAGCCATTTTAATTATAATTATTGACTATTTCTAATTTTGTTAATTAATATTAAGTAGCTACTGTTTCATTCATATGGTAATCAAATAACACTTGGTAAAGAATAAATGATAGCTGATGTTTTTATTTTAAAGTACAAATAAAAATAAAAACTTTAAACTGAGAAGTTTTTCTATAGAGCCTTTTCCAGAAAGCAGAATTTTCATTGTTTAATATAATTTGTGGATGACATTCAGCTAGTTCTTACAGCCAAGAGTAAAAATAATATGATGAAAGTTTTGCTGTACGAAGACAGGTTGTGCATATATTCCATCTATTTATTTATTTATTTATGGACAATTGATGCATGGATAATTTTAAAGGTTACATATCTGATGGTTAGCAGATTTGGGACTAGAATTTCTTACACATTTCTAGATATGATAATGAATACCAGAAATGGCCTAATAGTGGGAGGCACAGTCTTTGCCTCTGGGAGCTCTCCTTTTAGTGTATTAAGTGCCAATTGAGCTGTTTAACAAAAACATATGAGGCTTTAAAGAACAGAGAAAAAAATTTTAGTTCAGAGAAAGAATTAAACAATTTGGGCAGGATTTGTCGATAAAGTAAAAGAGTTTAAAAAATCTATAAAAGTAAACACATTGAGACAAAAAGGAAACACATTGAGACAAAAAAAATTTTGGACAGCAATGCAATATTTTCACTACCTCAGTACTTAGCTCTGGGCCATTATCACAAAGGGGAAGAGAAAAATAAAGACTTCTTGAGTTCTCTGGACTTGGGAAAACATCCTATGATGATTTTAAAACAAACTTTGAAGGTGGCTTCTATTTAAATACCACACTCCATGCTTTTTGCCATGAAAGAAAGAAGAGTATATCAATCATTTGGACAATGTTTTGATTTCTCATTGTTCATTGCCATCCCAAATCTTACCACACAATAAGAATTGGTTGGGTGCTTGCTTCCACAGCATATATACTAAAATTTGAATGACACAGAGAAGATTAGCATGGCCTCTGTGCAAGGATGACATCCAAATTTGTGAAGTGTTTCATATTTTTTAGTTGCTGATTTCTCAATGGATATGCTCCAAGCAAGAAGAGAATGGTGAGAAATATTCCAAGTAATGAGAACTAGAGGCGTGCAACTAAGTCTACTATATCCAGCAAGGCTCTTAATCAAGATAGAAGGCCAAATAAAGAGCTTCCAAGACAAAAGAAGTCTAAAAGAATAAACCTCCATCAAACCAGTTCTGCAAGAGATGCTAAAGGGACTGCTCTAAGGAAAGGAATGAAAATAGAAAGACAGAGAGGAACAGAGGTACAAAAATGGCAATGAATAAGTACCTATCAGTAATAACCTTAAACGTAAATGGATTAAATGCTCCAATCAAAAGACAAAGAATAGTGTCATGGATAAGAAAGCATGACCCACACATATGCTGCCTACAAGAGACCCACCTCAGGACAAAGGACCATCACAGACTAAAAGTGAAAGGCTGGAAACAAATTTTCCAAGCAAATGAACAAGGAAAAAAAGCTGGGGTAGCAATTCTCATATCATACAAAATAGACTTCAAAAAAAGGGCCATAAAGAGAGACCCAGAAGGTCACTTCATAATACTCAAGGGAAGAATACACCAAGAATACATAAACATTGTAAATATACATGCACCCAACATAGGAACACCCAAATATATAAAGAAAATCTTAGAGGACTTCAAGAAAGATATTGACAACAACACAATTATAGTAGGGGATTTTAACACCCCACCGTCAAAAATGGACAGATCTTCCAAACAAAATATCAACAAAGATAGTGTGGCATTGAACAACACCCTAGATGAAATGGACTTAACTGATATATACAGAGCCCTTCATCCCAAAGAAGCTAAATACACATTATTTTCAAATGCACATGGGACATTTTCAAAGATAGACCACATGATAGAACACAAAACAAGTCTCAACAAATTCAAGAAAATTGAAATTATACCAAGCATTTTCTCTGACCACAAGGGACTAAAATGAGAAACCAACCCCAAAGAAAAAGACCCAAAACACTGAAAAACATGGAGATTGAATAGCATGCTATTAAACAATGAATGGATCAAGAATGAAATTAGGGAAGAAATCAAAAAGTTTCTGGAAACAAATGAAAATTAACTCACGAGAATCCAAAACTTATGGGACACAGCAAAGGCAGTCCTGAGAGGGAAGTTCATAGCTACGCAGGCCTACCTAAAAAAGATATAAACCTTTCAAACAAACAACCTAACCCTACACCTACAAGAACTTGAAGAACAACAAAGACAGCCCAGAGCAAGTAAAAGGAAGGAAATAACCAAGATCAGAGCAGAATTAAATGACATAGAGACTAAAAGCACAGTTTGAAGGATCAATGAATCTAGTAGCTGATTTTTTGAAAAGATAAACAAAATTGACAAACCTTTAAGCAGGCTCAACAAGAAAAAAAAAGAGAGAGGACCCAAATAAACACGATCAGAAATGAAAGAGGAGAGATTACAACTGACACCACAGAAATACAAAGGATTGTGAGAAAATTACTATGAAAAGCTGTATGCCAAGAAATTTAAAAACATAGGTGAAATGGACAAATTTCTAGAAAAATATAATCTTCCAAAACTCAATGAATAAGAAGCAGAAAGCCTCAACAGACCAGTAACAGCAGATGAAATTGAAGCAGTAATCAAAAAACACAAAAGCCCTAGACCAGATGGTTCCACAGGAGAATTCTACAAAGCATTTAAGGAAGAGCTAACCCCTATCTTTCACAGACAATTACAAAAAATCCAAAATGATGGAAGACTCCCAAACTCTTTTTATGAAGCCAGCATCATTCTAATTCCAAAACCAGCTAAAGATACAACAAAGAAAGAAAACTTCAGGCCAATATCACTGATGAACATAGACACTAAAACTCTCAACAAAATACTGGCAAATCACATCCAACAATACATTAAAAACATTATACACCATGACCAAGTGGGATTCATCCAAGGGATGCAAGGATGCTTCAGTATTCACAAATCAGTAAATGTAATACATCACATAAACAAAAGCAAAGATAAAAATCACATGATCATATCAATAGATTTGGAAAAAGCATTTGATAAGGTACAGTACCCATTTATGATAAAAACACTCAGCAAAGTGGGAATAGAGGGAGCATTCCTCAACATAATAAGGGCCATATATGAGAGGCCTACAGCCAACATCATATTCAATGGGCAAAAGCTAAAAGCTTTTCCACTAAGATCAGGAACAAGACAAGGTTGTCCACTTTCACCACTTCTATTCAATATAGTATTGGAAGTTTCAGCCACAGTGATCAGATAAGAAAAGGAAATAAAATGCATCCAAATTGGAAACGAGGAAACAAAACTGTCACTGTTTGCAGAAGACATGATTAGTGTACATGGAAAATCCTATAGACTCTACCCAAAAACTGCTTGACCTAATAAATGAATTCAGCAAAACAGCAGGATACAAAGTCAATATCCAGAAATCAAAGACATTTTTGTACACCAACAATGAAACAGCAGAAGCAGAAATCAAGAAAAAATTTTCATTCAATATAGCAAAAACAAAAATAAAATATCTGGGAATAAACCTAACCAAGGAGGTAAAAGACCTGTATACAGAAAACTACACAACATTGAGGAAAGGAATCAAGGAAGACACAAACAAATGGAAACATATACCGTGTTCATGGATCAGAAGAATTAACACCATCAAAATGTCCATACTACCCAAAGCAATTTACAGATTCAATGCAATACCTATTAAAGTACCAATGGCATATTTCATAGACATAGAACAAACACTTCAAAAATTTATATGGAACCATAAACGACCCTGAATAGCAGCTGCAATTTTGAGAAATAAAAACAAAGTAGGAGGGATCACAATACCCGATAACAAACTGTATCAAAACAGCCTGGTACTGGCATAAAAACAGGCACATAGACCAATGGAACAGAACGGAGAGCCCAGAAATAAACCCAAGTCTCTACAGGCAACTAATATCTGACAAAGGGGGCAATAACATAAACTGGAGTAAAAATAGCCTCTTCAACAAATGGTGTTGGGAGAACTGGACAGCTATGTGCAAAAAAAAAAAAAAAGAAACTTGAGCACCAACTTACACCATACACCAAAATAAATTTAAAGTGGATAAAAAACTTAAATATAAGCTGTGACACCATTAAAATCCTAGAGGAGAACATTGGAAGGAAAATCTCAGATATTTCATGCAGCAACATTTTTACTATGTCCCCTAGAGCAAGGAATATAAAGGAAAGAATAAACAAATGGAATCTCATCAAAATAAAAAGCTTTTGCATGGCTAAAGAAAACAATATTAAATTAAAAAGACAACCAATTTTATGAGAAAACACATTTGCCAATGATACCTCAGACAAAGATTTAATCTCCAAAATACACAGAGAACTCACATGACTCCACTCTAAGAAGACAAGCAACCCAATTAAAAAATGGGCAAAAAACTTAAACAGATACTTCTACAAAGAGGACATACAGAGGATCCAAAGATACATGAAAAGATGCTCAATATTGCTAGCTATCAGAGAGATGCAAATTAAAACCACAGTGAGATACCACTTTATACTGGTCAGAATGACCATCATAAACAAAGCAACAACTAGAGTTGAAGAGGTTGTAGAGAAAAAGGGACCCTAGTTCACTGTTGGTGAGATTGCAGACTGGTACAACCACTATAGAAAACAGTATGGAATTTTTTAAGAAAACTAAAAATGGATCTGTCTTTTGACCCAGCAATTTCACTGCTAGGATTATATGCTAAGAACCCTGAAACACCAATCCAAAAGAACCTATGCACCCCAATGTTCATAGCAGCACAATTTACAATAGCCAAGTGTTGGAAGCAACCTAGGTGCCCATTAGTAAATGAATGGATCAAAAAATTATGGTACATTTACACAATGGAATTCTATGCAGCAGAAAGAAAGAAGGAGCTCCTACCCTTTGCAACAGCATGGATGGAACCAGAAAGCATTATGCGGAGTGAAATAAGCCAGGCAGTGAAAGAAAAATACCATATGATTTCACCTTTAACAGTAACCTAAACAACAAAACAAACAAGGGAGCAAAATATAATAAAAAACACTGAAATAGAGAACAGGCTGACAGGGACCAGAGGGGAGAGGGAAAGGGATTTCAGGGGGAAAGGGGAAGGGTTAACAGGAATAAGTATAAAGGACACATGTACAAAAACTAAGGGGGGTGGAAATGGGAGGGAGGTGGGGAGTACTGGGGCAGTGGGCTGGGATGGGAGTAAAAGACTGAAAACTACTTGAACAACAATTTAAGGAAGGAAGGAAGGAAATAAATAAATAAATAAGAATTGGTTGGGTAACAGAGGGTAATAATAACAAAGTAGGAATAAGGAATAAAAAAGATTATATACATTTTATACACACACACCACACACATATATAGTCTGTCCAGAAGGTTTCCAGCCATGTAACATGAAAAATAGACATTAATTGAAGAAGACACAAGATACGAGAAACACTGTACATAGGACAATGACACCTCAGTCCCCTTCATAGTAGGCACCTTGGGACCTCACACAGTTCTCTCAATTGCCATTGGCTGCCCTGTTGTATTTTTCTGAATCTAACTGATGGTCTAAAATCTCTTTCCTTTCAAAGACGATTTTAGTTTGGGGAAAAGCCAGAAGTCTCAGGGCACCAAATCTGGGCCGTAAGGGGGCTGGGTAATTTAATATTTCACCAACAAATTCTGCACAAGACATGCATGAATGGGCACATTGTCATGATGAAGCTGCCAATCACCTGTTGCCCATAGCTGCAGACTTCTGCATCATCTGAATAGTTTTTGTGGAGGAATGTTCAAACTTAATGCAAAATTTAATGCAGAATCATTGCTCTACTTGCTCAGTATTTTGAATGTGACAGGCACACAGTACATATGCTTAATCAATGGTGTCTACCACCCCCACTGACTAGTACAGTGAAGTCATCATTGTCCGTGCA